CTTGATTTTTCCATGTAGGTACTGGCACTTTATGTTCTTCATGACTCTAGCTTATTAAGTTTGCATTCAAATTTGTTCTCAGAGTTTATTGCCTGAGCACTGTTCTATACAGAGTACTGTCAAGACAGGAAGTAGGACTGCCCAGGAAATATTTCTCTTTAAGGTGCATACAGTCTGCTTGGAGAGACAGTAAGTAACTACGTATGAAATTGGGGTTTTTCCCTTAGGGTTAAATTCGTCAGATTAATTTGGACAATTTCAATAAGTAATGATAGAATAAGAATACTCAATACTTGATTCTCATGTTAGAGACTGTGTCTTGAATTTTTTTTTCTTAAGTGTTGTGTTCTGTCCAAAGTAGATCACTACCAGTTTGGATTATGCATTCAAAAACATTGAATGTATATCTAGTGCTAGGCATTGTGCTAGGTATTGGGAATATAGTGTTGACAATGGTAACCTAATACAGTGCAGAGTGTAATGGAGTGACCTGTTTAACCAATTATCATTTAAGTGAATGCATCTACGTTTTGATGCTGCCTACTATGGAGGAAAAATACAATGTATAACAGGAAACAGAATTTAGATTTAGGAGTCAAGTGACCTCAGTATTAATTGAGACCATTAGGATGTGTTACAAATTAACCAGGCAAAGAATCATGGTACCAGTGCTTCATGTGGAGGCAGCAGCATAGCAAGTCATGAGGTGAGATAGAGCTAAAAGAAAGCTAACGTGGCAGGAATGTAGGGAATATGGAGAAAGAATATTAAAAGATGAGGTTTGAAGACTTGTAGGCCACATTAAAGATTTTGGATTATGTTTTGGGCCGGCTGAGTGGCGCGTTGGTTAAGAGTTGACTTGGGACGCCAGCTCTGAGCAGCAGGGCCCCAGTTCGGATCCCACGTGGGGGCCAGTGATGCTGCCCTCTACAGCTAAGATGGTGAACAACAGCTTGACCTGGAGCTGGGCTGCTGTGAGTCGCCGGCGACAGCATAGGCTGCAG